AGAGACCACGATGTCCACCGGCAATTATCAATTTAATCAGTAATAAAATAGAAAAAGTGGAGGGCAGTATCACAGATTTCTTAATAATTCTTATATAAGATAAGTACTTGTGATATTCTAAAACGTTTCTAACAGCACAAAATTATCTACGACGCAGTTCTTCTACAAGCGATTCACAACTCAGCTCTTTCCGCAATAACGAAAGCGGATTGTTGACGGCAGTAATGAAACACAACAATGCCGAGAAACAGATACTCTCCTAAAAATTGTGCTAAAAGTAGAATACTCTCCTAAAAAAGCACGGGGTGTGGCTGCGTCGGGGACACGGCCGTGGGTTTTACGTGAATACGTCTGCGTTAGCGGGTAATATTTTCTTTGGAATATGGGAATGAAATGAAAGTAACGAAATGGATACAATGCTTTTATTTAGCATAACAAATATACAGAGTCTTAGCTAGTAATCGATGACAATTTTGTTTAGCATTGGTATATAACAAATATTTTACAAAGTTTTAATGGCTTAAATCCACAGATCTAGACGTGATCTTTCGTTTGGCACCAAAATCAGCATGCTAGCACATCGGAGTCGCGAGATATACTGCCCGTAAATTTTCGCCCACGCCCAAAATGGCCGCCATTCGCCGCAGGCACCCCACCCGCGCCTCGCACATGCGCGAATAACGAAAGCTGATTGTTGACGCCAATATATACTAATGCAACAATGCCGAATAAACAGATGACGTAACAATTAGTTTCTTAGGTAAAGGAGTGGATTGCAATACGGTTCATTCAGGCAATTATACAGCATGCATAATAAATTAGAAAATAGCTTTACGGCATGCTCAGCCAAGATTTTTGCAGGCGTATGTTAGAAATCCCAGTACTTTTTCTTGCATTGTTATGCACGCAGGTGTTCACGTACAAACTTACCATTGTCGGTCCATATTTACACATTGTTGGTAGTTGAAAAAAAAAAATACAAAGAGAATTACTTGAATTTGGTCATATTCCATCCTAAATGTATTCTGAAATCAGTTTTTGGCGTAAATACATCTATATTTTAGGGTCAGTGTCATTCGGCAAAAAGTGGAACGAAAAAGTGTAACTGCATTGTTATGTTACATAGGAAACTTCAATTGTTATTTTTACCTAGGAAAGTCAATTATTTACTCGGCATTATTGTTACCTACGAAGCGTCACCTGTTTACACGGCTTTATTGTTACCTACGAAACGTCGTCTGTTTACTCGGCATTGTTGTTACCTATAAAACATTACATTACCTTACCTTACATTACATTACTTTACATAACATTCAGCTACCACAGACCCATCTTAAGCGTAACTAATTCAAATTAAATAAGCCATATCTTAATCAAACTTATCTCAATTGTGAAGCATGTATAAAGGAAATATTTAAAATAAAGCCAATATATAAACTTCCTTTCGGTATAGGCGTATTTACGTCAAATTCTCCGGAACCGTGGTTCCACTGACAACTTTTTTTATGTACGTCCATATCTTAGATAATTACCTTGCAGATTTATTTTACAAAACTCCTGTCTACTTTATCCTGAAAGAAGAAATTTGTAATTCATTCACCATGACGAACAATATGTTCAACTCTATTGATAATAATGTGTTACAGAAGGAATCTATTGTTTTTATATTTTTACTATAAAAATTTGTGATTTATCGTCATCTTTAAAAAATGACGTCATCAAACAATGTCACCTTGTATTTGTTTACTCGGCATTGTTGCGTTCCACAACAATGCTGAGTACAGCACAACAATGCCGAGTAAACAAATAACACTTCACCAACTACCCAGCCAGTAGCATGATCACTGCTCCAGAAGAAATGAAGAAAAGTGAAAGAAGACCAACACCAACAAGGTAAAAGTAAAGTAACGTTTGTCCCACTATACACCAGGGGGGGGCGGGGTGGGCCCCAGAGCCGGTCTGGACGCAGAGGCTAGAGGGAAAACCCTCTGCCCCCGTCGGGGATCGAACCCCGGTCGTCCAGCCCGTAGCTAGTCACTATACTGACTGAGCTATCCCGGCTCATCCAACAAGGTAAACTGATACTAATAATAATACTCATTCAGTCATACTGCTCATTCAATATATTACGATTACGAAAACTGAACTAACCCCCCCACCCGAAGGGGGGATTAGTTTAGTTAAAACACTTGTTTTTAGCCCCTGTTCGGGGGGGTTAGTTTAGTGTTTTACTCAAGTTTTTAAAACGCAACCAATCCCCCCCCCCCCGAAGGGGGGTTGGTCAAATGTTTTAACCCTCCATTCAGGGGGGTTAGTTTAGTTTCATACACAAGATTTTAAAACGCTACCAACCTCTCCTAATGTTGCTTTTTAAACACTTGACCAGTTCCCTTGGTTGCGTTTTAAAAACTTGACCAACCCCCCCGAGGAGGTACATGTTTCTCTCGTAATTTCAATCAGGATGAAGATTGCTTAAAATTCAAGATGTTCCAATATAAATTGTAAAGACAACCATCTGTTGCTTCTCTTCATCCATAGTCATGCATTTAAAATGTAATCAGAAGAAAATACAAACTAAGTAACTAATCTTTACTGTGTTCCTTATAGAATTATTGTTTAATCGGTGAACAGTGGTCTTTGGGGGTTGTGGTTGAGATGTCACATAGCTGTGAAGGTGGTCACCAACATTCCAGAGGTAAACATTACTTCCTTGAATAAATAGCGGCATGACAAACTACAGTTTTTTTCTTGTGTTCTGTCTGACGACAGGTCCATATGAACAGGATCCTTCTATCCTTTTCTCGGACTGGGACCTGTTCATATACGTTCTTGGCAGATGATCCAGAAGTGGTTTGCCATTGCCTTCTTCTGTGTGTGAATGGAGTAATTGTTGGGATGCCACGGAGAAACCGGGGAAGCCCCCGGAGGAAAACTCCGTGTTTCCTAGACCACGGCCTTGCCCAACACAAGTTATAAATTCGGACACCGCCGGGAATCGAACCCGAGACCCCAGGATTACAAGGCCAGCGTTCTAACCGCTAGACCACCGTGGCTGTCAAAACTACAACTACACACAAAGAAAATCATGAAATATGAGCTGCATGCTTTTATTCCACGATAATCCATTTACCACTTGGCCTGTTTGATCAAAGGACGAAGGGTAATAACTGCACACAACAAATATGCACATAACATAATATTTATTTTCTCAATGTTCATAGATCTTTTATGAAATGTGAATTATATAGTCCATGATTGTAATCTTGAGACTTGCTGGGTGACAAAGTGGGGTAAAGGAGAAAAGATAGCGTCAGCCTCTAACGCTTCGGACTTCCTGCATTCCTTGCAAGTCGCAAGATTACAGTCTTACTGTACCTAATTATCTTATCAGAAGGACCATGGGGAAGAAAAACAAACAAGAAGTAATTACCTGTGTATCGAGATTGCTTTCATCTACATCTTCCTCACCTTCAGGAGGAAACATAATCATGCTCAACATCTCGGGTCTGTAAGTTCTAACCATATCTACCAACCAGGACAGTAGACCAATGACATTAGGCCACGAGTGAGACGAGTTTGCTGCAAATATTATACAAATTATGTACATAAACAATTACAAGACTTCCTGTACTTCAGTGTTTGCAACTGAAATCCAGTGTACAGCTTTGGCTTTCAGTGATGTCCATGTTGAATGATGAAAGCAATCCAACATTTTCGTAAACACTGAATGTACCATTTTCAGGGTGAGTGTGTATTGGTATGTTTATGGATTACTTAGTAAGTGAGATGAGACAAATTATATTGGCGGAAATGAAGAGCTGGCTGGTACACAAATGGTAACAAGTAATTGGTTATGAAAATGGAGTAATGACAATTTGTTTTAACTTGTAGGTTACAAACCTGTAATTAGCCAGGATTTCTTAACGCTGCCTGGAAATCCGAGCCTCTCGGTCAGGTGGGGAATTTCATCAGCGTAGTTACTCATATTTATAATGTGTTTCTTTGAAAAGTTAGACAGCAAATGATATACAAACTCCACAAGCGAACGCATGGTTAAGGACTTTGAAGTGGTTAGCTTCAAATCTGTGTCATCAATTTGATGAAGATAATTCTGGATCTGTAACAGACAAATCAGGCAACTATAACCGTCCATCTTTGGTTAGTTGCTCCAGCTAGCTCAGGGACTCAGGTTCGTTTACGGGGATCGAATGTGTAACGGAGAGATAATGATTGACTGTTAATCTAATTATATCTTTATTATATATTTTCTTCGAAACACAACTTTATAAAAGTCTTAACCTCTACCGTCAAGAAACTTTCCACGACTGATCTTCCCCTAATCCCATGAAGACGGTTTCGTAACTCGAAAGATGTCGCCATAAGTGGATTTATTTAATACAAGACGCAAGGTGAAACTGCTGTGTGTTGATGGATTGTAAAATTAAACGTCAGTAAAGTAACTTATTTCAATAAGACTTCTTGAGCAGAAAATAACGAGAAGAAATAATTTTTCCTTGTTTGCTGCAAACAACATTTCTCTTTTTATTTTTTGTAGCTCCTACATCAATTCCTAGTTTTCCACATAATTTTCGTAAGGAAAGTACTGATTTTCCCAATCTAATATTTGTTTACATTTCTCCTCTTCCTTTTTGCGTTTCTCCTCTTCCTTTTTACCTTTCTTCTACTTCGTTCTTTGCGTTTCACCTCTTCCTTTTTTACGTTCTTCTGCTTCTTTTTTGCGTTTCTCCACCATCAATTTCTATCTGGGTTTGTAGGCGTAATCGTTTGCTTTCGGTAGGTTCTTGACGACACATATCGACATATAAGATCTATAATCATTCATGTCTGTCACTTTGTACCTGCAATTTGAAATACTAGAAGTGAAATCAAACCCTTTTCTATCATCCATCATTATTATCTACACTCAAGATAATTTTTATCAGAAAATATGTATCTCTGCATGCGATGATGTAACTCACGAAGGAAATTGTTTTCTACCATAAATAATTTATTTAATATAAATTTAACAGAAATGTAATTTGAATGACGGTGCATTTATGTAAATAAATTATCCATTTTCTTAAAAATATATATACTTTTGCTTCTGGGTTTTAAAATATCAGAGATTTCGTTGTAGAACAAGTATAAAAGAATTATCTTTGTGAGTCGTGAAATGTGTTGACCTAAAAATATCCATGTCTGATGGGCTGGCTCTGTCTTTTGGTAGAATTGTAAACTGCTAGAATCTAAGAGCACAGCTTCCACCGAAATGTCATTGCTTATAATTTGTTTCCGGACAACCTTAACAAAAATTCCCCCAATGGGACGTCAGTGTACGATTCCCACGTGATCTTTCTTTCACTCATGCACATAGAACCCCGGCCAACGTTCTATTATAACGTGATACATTTTATTGCATCAAAGTATTTTAGGACGCTGTCAAACGACTTGTGTTCTGCGCCAGCTAAGTTTCGTACACTTCATTAAGCCAGTACCTTCAGTCAGAATAATAAATTTAATCACATGCTTTCTTTGGAGAGATAAGCGTATCTTGTTTGAGACATGCGTCCATGAAAATATTTACCTCTTTCAGCAATATATATTCAAAAAAATTTTGTCCCACTAAAAGTAGTTCACTTCACTGCACCCACCCATGTATTCCCTTCACTTCACCTCATTTATCACTTTTCTAACCTTCTTCCTAAAAGCACTTGGTTTACAGGAGAGAGTCCCTAAAACATCAGGAGGTAGCTGGTTCCAGAGTTGGATGGTCCTATTTACAAAGGAATATTTTCCGATATCTGTTCTTTGCTTTCTGCTCCTAATTTTCCGAATATGATCGACCCTGCTCAGATAATATGGCCTTTGCAATCTGT